TCCCTTTGATCCTCGCTTAATGAGGATGTCCTTTATGCCCCCATCACTAAGGTCTAATCAGAATTGCAGATCGACTTCGTCGTCTCTATGGGTGGTATTTGTACTACCTCCAAGAGCAAGAGTAAAGTAAATTAGAATATTACTTTAGAATATAACTAACTAACTGATTATGCAGGGTTAACAATGTGTATTTTTTATCTGGTATTTTCTGAGGGTGATGATACAGTGTACCTACAAAAAGAAACTCCTTAGTTTAACATTTTTATTTTTCTTTTATGTATACTATTGACGTTTCTTACTACGCCATGTTTTATCATGGTTAATGAAACACATTTTTATTACAACTTGTTTGTAAATTTGTTGTTGTTTGAAACATCTAAAGCTAGATAGACCTAAAGAAAGTCTCCTTACGCATTTTTATTTATGATTAAATGCAGCATATTTTAGTTCACAATACGTTTATTGTAACGAAGAAGTGGTCTGATTATAGATCTACGAAGTGTTCTCATCAGGTAATCAGAGTGATTGTTTTCAATTTTTACAAACTCTCGTTCTATCACTCAAAACAATCTTATGATGGTATATAACGCTGTTTAATAGACTACAGTCCAGGACAGTAGTAGGACAGTCTGTCCTCTCAATAATCTTCATCGCAGTGTTGAATACCGGTTATTGGAACAGCCTTCATTTGGGCCATATCCGAAAATGAGGGTTTTTGAGGTAACTCTGTAATTCAATGGAACTGAACATGGTAATCTTAGTTTTCTTCTCAATGCGTAGATAATCTGTCTGATATTCCTGTATACTGCCATATTGTGTGAACCATGGATGTCCAAGTATGATAGGTAACTTGAAATCTCCGAGAATAATACCGAGTGTTGGATATTTGGTACCCGCAAGAAATACTTGCATGATAACAGCAAATTGGTGAATGGCTAAAAAGGTCAGTCTTTATTTTCACAGTATATCATGAACTTGCATCGTTTGTGAGTCAAATAGAGTTCGTCCAATGATTTGTGAGCTAATGCGGTGGACTTGGTACTAGTTACCTCTTTGGTAGTTTCTCACATCTCCCATGTGACGGCCGTTTTCAGCGATGCACGTCTCACGCCGCTCTCGGAAATTGGCTTCCACTCTCTCCAACATTACTATGTCGATTTGAACAACTTCCACACGAATTGCTTCCTTTAGTTCTTCAAGTGTACGTGGTTTACGCTCGTATACACGTGACGTGAGGTAACCACACAAAAAGTAGTGCACATGGACAGGTCTGGGGAACGAGGAGGCCAACTAATGTCACCAAATCGGGAAATGACGCGACCACGAAAAACACTCCGAATAGATTTCATTGACATTCTTGCTGTGAATCCCGTCCTGCTGAAACCAAACTTGCTGCATAGGAATACGTTTTCTTCTTAGTTCAGGTAGGAAGAATTCAGTGATCATCTGTCTATACCGTTCCGAGGTTACAGTTACAGTGTTTCCGTTATCGTTTTGGCCGTTTAAATAAAAATTAGCTTCATCAGTCATAAAGGAAATACTGTTGTCATTTTGCTCAAGTATGGCCTTCATTTCTCGAGCAAAACTTAGGCGCTGTTCATAAACTCTAAGGTTCAATTGTTGCACAATGGCCATTTTGTAGGGATGAAAACTCAATATGCAAAATACGATTACTGATGCGCAGTGCAGCAGAATGTCTCTTAGCAGATCGAACAGGATTAAGGAGTATGGCTTGCTAAACTCTTTTCACATTTTCTGGAGTGCATACTGAGTGAGGAGGCGTTGCTGATTTTCTATTCATCACTGTTCCTCGTAAATGAAATGATTTTACCCAATTACCACTATCATGTCTCGCAAGATTGAAATGGCGACGAAACTCACACTGAACTGCAACTATTGATTCATTATTACGCACAAAACTATCGCCAGCAAACACATGATGTATATGCCTTATAGAAAAGTGAATAATTTAGAAAATATTTCAATTTTTTGCTTTTTGTACAAGCTCAGTACATACTCTTACAAATCTTGATATTTAGAGAGTAATAATAGTTTCATTGGCAATGTATCGACTTCTCTGAATAGATTACATCCTAATACACATTTAAAGTCAAGAAATACTATAAATATTTCGATGGTTTAAAAATACAGGAAGTGAAATATTCGGTTTTTAAGTTAATTTTCAAACAAAGTGTTTATTCATGAGCGTCTATTTCAAAATTTCGATGAGACATTCAGCATACAAATTATTATAAAAACGTTGTTTTGAACTCAACAAAACTCTTTTTTGTTACCTTTCGAATGAGGTATGAAGCATGGCAAAATGTCTTTCCAATTAGCCAATAATAAGATAACAATTGGTGCGAGCACAATTTTGACTACCTACCCAATGTGAATAAAATTCAAAATCGATTACACCTGCGGTTGAAATTCAATTTATTAATGGTTAACAACCATCGGTTAAACAATTTTTTAACGTTTTGGCAGTAAGCCATGGAATTTAGACAGTTTTTTCGTTAATATTGTTTATTTTTATTTGAATAAAATTTGGTTAAAATGTCATCGTTTACAATGCTCAGAATGCCGACATCCTACGACATCCCATTTATTTACGGTTTCTGTGACGGAAACGCATCAGCCGCTCATCGAGAATATCGGCAACGCTATCGATAACGCAAATCGACAAATTCCTCATATTAGTGTATTTGGCGCCACTTATCGACGTCTAGCTGAGATTGGCAATTTAAGAAAAGCCGAACGTGTAGGACGTGCTGGACTTAATATGGAAGAAGACATTTTGGAAACATGCTATGAAGCACCCACATCCAGTACAAGAAACGTCGCTGCTAATTTGGGGATATCACAATGGAAAGTCTGGTCAACTCTTCGACAAATGGGCAACCAACCTTATCATTACACACCTGTCCAGGCACTTGAAGACGGCGATCCTGAACGAAGGATTCAATTTTGCCGGTTTCTTTTAAATGCTGACATTCAGGATGAATATTTCTTGAGAAGGATTTTATGGACCGACGAATCGAAGTTTAACAGAGAAGGTATAACAAATCTTCATAATTTACATTATTGGACTGACGAAAATCCTCATCTAACGAAGGAAACGAGCAACCAAAGAAAATTTTGTGTGAATGTGTGGATGGGGCTCATTGGAAATAATTTGATTGGTCCTCATTTTTTTTCCGATCATTTAAATGGCGCAACGTATGATGATTTTTTACATAATAATTTAATAGAAATACTGGGCCGTGTACCTTTAGAAAACAGGAATAACATAGTTTTCCAACATGATGGATGCCGTGCGCACTTTTCGCAAAATGTGCGAAATTCATTAAATGAATTATTTCCTAACCGCTGGATTGGGAGAGAAGGTCCAATTCAATGTCCTGCAAGGAGTCCTGATTTGACGCCCCTACATTTTTATATATGTGTGCGGCCACATGAAGGAAAGAGTGTATGCAACACAAATCAATACTAGGGATGAATTAATAGAGAGAATCCAAAATGAAGCAAATGTTTTAAGAACTACAATTACAAATAAAATAACAAGGTCGGAAATAAGATAAAGGGCTCGAGCATGTATTAGGAATAGAGGTGCAGTTTTTGAAGCAGACTTGTAATTGGACCCCCTCTTGAAATAAGGAGCCAACTGATAATTTTTACTAATAGGTATGAGTTAAGTATTTATTCAGAATTAAAAAAGGTCGTTTTGCATGTTACTGATAAGAAACTAACGGTAAGGTTTTTTCCAGTTGGTTCCTTATTGCAACAGGGGGGGATCCAATTGTGTTTCGCGCTGAGTTTTTTTTGAGTTAGAGTTAGAAGTTATGTCACATGATTGTGTTAATTTTTTTTTAATGTTAGTTGCTTAATTTTTTATGGTTGTCTGAATTAACGTTATGTTTTAGTTCCAATAAGCAACAATAAATAGTAGGTGTAATCGATTTTGACTTTTATTAACTTTGGGTAGGTTGTCAAAATTGTATTCGCGCCACTTGTTATCTTATTATTGGGTAATTATAAAGACATTTTGCCATGCTTAATACCTTATTCGAAATGTAAGAAAACAGAGAAGTTTTTACAATAATTGGTACGCTAAATGTATTATCAAAATTTTGAAATAAACGCTTGTAAATGAACACATTATTTAAAAATTAACTTAAAAATCGAAAATTTCACACCCTACATTTTTAAAGCATCGAAATATTTAAAATGTTTTTCAACTTAAAATGTGTATTAGAGTGTAATCTATCCAGAGAAGTCAATACATTGCCAAAGAAACTATTATTACTATCTAAATTTCAAGATTTGTAAGAGTATGTACTGAACTTGTACAAAAAACAAAAAATTGAAATAACTCCTAAACTATTCAGCTTTGCATAAGGCATATTTGGCTTAATCAATTACAAATGAGCTCTAGAACAACGTATTTCAATATTCACGTTTATGTACCAGTCAGTCTGTATGTGCCATTTTCATTCAGAATTAATCAAACTGCAACTATTCTCACGATAGGGAATGTTGTAGCTATACCAAATTATCATCCAGATCAAGAAGCTTATAGCAGGGTTTCATATAGGGGCTTCATATAATGCTACACACTGGAGTAAGGGTACTGCAATTAATGGCACTGGAGTTGATATGATGACATTTTAATAATAATGAATAAAAAATTTAGAAGACAATTTGAATATTTGGATTTTACATGATTTATAATTTTTATATTAAATAACCAAGAGCATAATCAAAATAGATCGATTTATTTATCACCATCATTTCATCCATTCACAAAAAACGGGTCCCCATAATAAGCAATAATGATGATCATTTACAAGAAATTTTGGTACCTAAATCTCAAACACACGTTGTAATTTGTCGCCATTTAAGACTTTATTTTCACGTAATTTTTATACCTGTCCCAAAAAGCCTTTTATTTAACATTTTTAAAACCGTACAATTATTTTCGTATTTTATACTTTTTACAGTAAAGTGCCAGCATTTCTCAATGTTGTCGATATCGCTGGTTTGGTCAAAGGAGCCGCGGAAGGACAAGGTTTAGGAAACGCTTTTTTATCACATATTAGCGCATGCGATGCCATTTTTCATTTATGTCGTAAGTTTACTTCTTTGTTTTTCTAAATTCCAAATTTTAATTAATAATTTCTTTGTATAGGAGTTTTTGAAGACGATGATGTAACTCACATAGAAGGAGACGTAAACCCAGTTCGCGATTTAGACATCATCAGCGAAGAATTGCGCTTGAAAGATGAAGAAATGTTGATGAAAAATTTGGAGAAGTTGGAACGCGCTGTTTTACGCGGAGGCGATAAAAAATTAAAACCGGAATACGTAAGTTTAAACTTAAATTAAATGACGTTGCATTCTTAATCCTTGTATAAATTTGTTTCTTGGTAAAATCAATTCGAAGCAGCACACGTCATGTCTTTTTAGTGACAAGGATGTGATTCGTGTCGAAGTGCGTTTATGTTAATAGCCATCAAAGCCACGTGGGGGTCCCAGATTTCATTTTAGATGGGTTCTATGAACACGCTGTGAGATGTGATCATATCTGCTTGACTTTACAACGCTTGGTATTGTGATCGCATTAACAAAGGTGTTACGAAACGGTATTTCAGCATCAAAAGATTATTTGTACGTTGACACGTGCTTTAAAAAGTCATAAAAAAGTACTTACATTTTAAAATATCATAAAAGTTTAAATATGTCAAAAGTATTGAATTAAATTATACGAAAAATAAAAATGAGTGAAACGGCTCGTGTCGGGGCGGTGTATCCAGCTGTGAAGGCGCAGCATTGGGGGGCTAAGCCCCCAGTAACTCACGTGCCGCCACCTATCGTTAACTATTACAGACACCGATGGTGATTTTGATAAATTGGTTAAATCAATAAGAATCTATTATTTTTTGTTTTTGTTGCAGGACACAATAGCTAAAGTGAAAACTGTTGTGGTCGATCAGAAGCAGCATATTAGATTTGCAGATTGGCACACAAATGATGTAAGTATGACAAGTTTTTTTTAATAATTAAATTTATTTTGTATTTTCAATAATCGATATTTAAGCAAGTCATTGATAAACCTGTGTCAAGGTTTTTGTCACCTGCTGAGTTGTCACTGCAAGTGGCCATAAAGGACCAAAACGGTTACGGATACTCGCCCAAAAACTCCAGGTGGCGACATTATTATACTGAGTTTATAATTTATAACCTGTCACATTAAGATTGTGCAATGGATCCCAACGCGGGTTGTTTTTCATCATTTCATCGTCGCAAGTCGATCCTTCCAATCCATTCATGCTGGATGGGTGAGTCGATGTATGAATCGAAACGTCTTCTCTTTTTCTCGCCTTACCAATTTTCGTTGGTATGTGCCGCTGGTGTCGGATTAAAGAATCTATTATAATTTTATTTCACTGTTAATGTAGGTATGGTCTGCCTAACGGAATAAAATCGATATACAGTGCTTCACAAAAGTAACGGATAAATTCGTTAAAACAATTAAAAACGGTTTATGAAAAAATCGCTGAGACGGGTCTAAGGATTTAATTTTTTTGCAGTTTTTTGAAGTTATGACGTCATCGCTATTTTTTTCAAATAGTAACCCTCCATTTTTATTACGGAATATGAAAGAGGATTTTTTTCTGAATTTGGTGCAGCTGGTTCTTAAAAAAAGAATCATTAAAAATCATTTGGAGTAGAAAAATAGCAGTTTATTAAGACAATAATTAATTTTTAATATCTGAAACAGTTGGTTGCTATGGTTATGCAAGGCTACTGCTATTTTTCTATCTTAAACGAATGGGAAATAATGAAATTTTAAGATAATTTTTCTCGAAAATTTTCTTATGTAACCAATATTATTATCGAATGTACAGGGTGTCCCAATTTCGATGTCCGCATAGGCTATCTCCGAAACTAAAAGAGATAGAAAAAAANTTGGTATGTGCCGCTGGTGTCGGATTAAAGAATCTATTATAATTTTATTTCACTGTTAATGTATGGTCTGCCTAACGGAATAAAATCGATATACAGCCTGATTCAGAGTAAGCGCCTTATTTTTTTTTAAACACAATGGGTACTACTTTCAAAATATTTGGCAGTAATATGTTTTAGGACATTCTCTACACGATGGTGATATCATATTTTCAGTTGGACGAATTATTTCAAAATGGCGACTGTCAACTTTTTTTTTTTAATGGAATGTCAACATTTTTTTTTATTATTGAGTTCCTAAAAACATTCTATTTACGACAGTATTTTGTTTTTCTTAAAAATTCATTTCTTTCCCCATCAAAAAGCAACCTAACATTTTAATCTAGTAGCGCATGAATGTTTTACGATCGATGTTATTTTTGTCCAAATAAATAAATAAGTAGATGTTTATTACAAAATAAAGTTTAATTGTTTCTTTTGTGTCTAGCGCTACTTGATATTTGGACAAAAATAACATCGTGTGTAAAACATTCATGTGCTACGATTAAAATGTGTGCTTTTTGATGGGGAAAGAAATGAATTAAAAAAGAAAACAAAATACTATCATATCAAGAATGTTTTTAGGATCTCAATAATAAAAAAAAATTTTGGCATTCCATTTAAAAAAAAAAGTCGACAGTCGCCATTTTGAAATAATTCGTCCAATTGAAAATGTGGTATCACCATCGTGTAGAGAATGTCCTAAAACATATTACTGCCAAATATTTTGAAAGTAGTACTCATAGTGTGGCTAAAAAAAAATAACGCGCGTACTCTGAATCAGGCTGTACAGTGCTTTGTGAAGCACTGTACAACAAATAACAGTAACGGATAAATTCGTTAAAACAATTAAAAACGGTTTATGAAAAAATCGCTGAGATGGGTCTAAGGATTTAATTTTTTTGCAGTTTTTTGAAGTTATTTCGGAATTTTTATTACGGAATATGAAAGAGGATTTTTTTCTGAATTTGGAGCAGCTGGTTCTTAAAAAAAGAATCATTTGGAGTAGAAAAATAGCAGTAGCCATGCGTAACCACGGCAACCAGTTGTTTCAGGCATTTTATTAAGACAATAATTAATTTTTGATATCTGAAACGGTTGGTTGCCATGGTTATGCAAGGCTACTGCTATTTTTCTATCTTAAACGAATGGGAAATAATGAAATTTTAAGATAATTTTTCTCGAAAATTTTTTTATGTAACCAATATTATTATCGACTGTACAGGTGTCCCAATTTCGATGTCCGCATAGGCTATCTCCGAAACTAAAAGAGATAGAAAAAAAGTAGCTTACATGTCATGATCTCGTTTTTCGAGAAAATGCTAATGCCGAAAACTCCGAACAGCTATCGTCTTTTGTTTTCGCCCTATCGGCAAAAACTGAAAATTTTGCGAAAACGACAATCGCGAATATCTCACTTATTATCAAAGATGGAGTATTATAAATAAAACATTATATGGGCAACTTTTTACGAAGAATTCAGTGGCGTAGGTAGAATTTTTTTCCCATCTTTTATTTTCGAGATTTTAGACGTAACTTTATTTTTTTAAATGGAAACCATAGTTGGCTATGACCTAAAATAATTTGTTATTTTCTTCTGATAACAAATATATATAGTTTGTGGGGTATATTTCTTATAGTTATTGAATAATTAACAAAAATTCATTTTGTTCTATCTAAAACTAATGTATGTATTTAAAAGTTAATGTTGCTATGGTGATAACCATACATACTATGATGGAACATAATGTATCAAATAATTGCCAAAGTTTGTATTTAAAAATTCGATAACAACTCTGGCATTATGTGCTGGTACGATGCACCAGCATGTTAAGTGTCAAAGTATAACAAAACTGAATAAAACTTTACAATGAATTTCGAAAATTATGAAAAATGTAACATGATGGAATGCTATATGTTATCAGATAAGAATGCGACGTTATTTAGAAAAATTAAATAATCTGCTGTTTGTTCAAAATGTCATCTGGACCAATGAAGTCTCTGAGTGTTCAAAGAAGCTTGGGTTTCAATGTATGGTGTGCCCTTTTAGATAATAGAATTTTGGCATATAATATCTACCATAAAAACTTAAACTCAGGTAAATACCTCAATATATTAAGGCAGCACATTGTGCCTTTGGTCGACAATTTGCCATTAAATATGTCACAAATGATATATTTTCAATACGACGGAGCACCAGCACATAATGCCAGAGTTGTTAGTGAATTTTTAAATACTACTACAAACTTTGGCAATAATTGGAAACAATGTTTTCCATCATGGTATGGTTATCACCATAACAACATTNGGTGTCCCAATTTCGATGTCCGCATAGGCTATCTCCGAAACTAAAAGAGATAGAAAAAAAGTAGCTTACATGTCATGATCTCGTTTTTCGAGAAAATGCTAATGCCGGAAACTCCGAACAGCTATCGTCTTTTGTTTTCGCCGTATCGGCAAAAACTAAAAATTTTGCGAAAACGACAATCGCGAATATCTCACTTATTATCAAAGATGGAGTGTTATAAATAAAACATTAAATGGGCAACTTTTTACGAAGAATTTAGTGGCGTAGGTAGATTTTTTTCCCATCTTTTATTTTCGAAATTTTAGGCGTAACTCTATTGTTTTAAATGGAAACCATCATAGTTGGCTATGACCTAAAATAATTTGTTATTTTCTTCTGATAACAAATACATATAGTTTGTGGGGTATATTTCTTATAGTTATTGAATAATTAATAAAAATTCATTTTGTTCTATGTAAAACTAATGTATGTATTTAAAAGTTAATGTTGCTATGGTGATAACCATACATACTATGATGGAACATAATGTATCAAATAATTGCCAAAGTTTGTACTTAAAAATACGGGTACGATACACCAGCATGTTAGGTGTCAAAGTATAACAAAACTGAATAAAACTTTACAATGAATTTCGAAAATTATGAAAATGTAACATGATCGAATGCTATATGTTATTGGATAAGAATGCGACGTAAGAACCTTCAGCCGGTTAGCAGAAAATTTAATAGATTTTTGGTCCTTCCCCAAACCACGTGCAAAAACATACCAAAAAGACCTGCAAGAGGATGAAGTCAATGTGTTGGCTTCAGTTGCGATAAATCCATCAACATCTTGCAGAGAAATTGAACAAGACGTCTGACCCAAAAGCCCCGAATATGAAAGAAAAATATGTATAAACCATACAAAGCGGGGCTAACTCATTATTTACGTGCCAGAGATGTCAATCTAAATTAGAATTTTGTAGATAATATTTAGAAAAATTAAATAATCTGCTGTTTGTTCAAAATGTCATCTGGACCAATGAAGTCTCTGAGTATTCAAAGAAGGTTGGGTTTCCATGTATGGTGTGCCCTTTTAGATAATAGAATGTTGGCATATAATATCTACCATAAAAACTTACACTCAGGTAAATACCTCAATATATTAAGGCAGCACATTGTGCCTTTGGTCGACAATTTGCCATTAAATATGTCTCAAATGATATATTTTCAATACGACGGAGCACCAGCACATAATGCCAGAGTTGTTAGTGAATATTTAAATACTACTACAAACTTTGGCAATAATTGGTAACAATGTTTTCCATCATGGTATGGTTATCACCATAACAACATTAAGTTTTAAATACATACAATAGTTTTAGAAAGAACAAAAAAAATTGATACATTATGTTCCATCATAGTATGTATGGTTATCACCATAGCAACATTAACTTTTAAATACATACATTAGTTTTAGGTAGAACAAAATGAATTTTTGTTAATTATTCAATAACTATAAGAAATATACTATATATATTTGTTATCAGAAGAAAATAACAAATTATTTTAAGTCGTAGCCAACTATGGTTTCCATTTAAAAAAATAAAGTTACGTCGAAAATCTCGAAAATAAAAGATGGGAAAAAAATTCTACCTACGCCACTGAATTCTTCGTAAAAAGTTACCCATACAATGTTTTATTTATAATACTCCATCTTTGATAATAAGTGAGATATTCGCGATTGTCGTTTTCGCAAAATTTTCAGTTTTTGCCGATAGGATTCTTTGCATTCAATTTTGTACCACTCTTTCACACGAATTGGTCGGAACATTGGCAATTTCGCGTTTGATATTGTCCTTGAAGTCCTTTAACTTTGTTGTCATAAACCAACGACTTAACTTAATTCCATAAAAATAAATCTAACAGCATCAAATCGCATAAACGAGATGAAGACTAAATTCCTGAACGCCTATTATGTAGCCTATCATATCTTTTTTTATGAGTTTATCCATTATAATTTTGAATAGTAGACGGCTTAATAAACCTCTTATAGAATTCCACTATACATATACAGATATTTTCTTAGAGTAAATCAATATGTAAATCAATGAAGTATAAAAATGTGTGCTTATTATATTCTATTGAGTTTTCTAAGACTTCCGTCGTTAGTGAAACAACATCTTTACAAGACCTCCGTATCCTAAAGACGAATAGTTCTTTGGTCAGTGTTGTAATGAAATTAATTTTGGTTATTAGCTTAAGGATGTTGAGTAGATTTACTCCTCTATGGTTGTTTGGTTGCTTTTTTAACTTCTTTTTTAAACATTAGAATCATTGTACTTGTTTTCCATGGGTTTGGTATCTTTTTTTCTGTTAAAATATTGTTTATCAGTGATGTTACCTGTGTTATTATACTTTTCCCTCCATACTTTAATAACTCATTTTGGATTTTGTTGTCTTATTTTCCTATATGTTGTTGTCCTTAAACAGATCTGTTAGATACTTTATTCGTTCACCTTTTTTCTCTGTTGTTTGACAAGTCCCCACATTTGCTTCTGTATGTCGAACAAGTGGATTCAAGCCTTTTGGAAAAAGTTTCCTAGTGTTCGTTTTTTTTGTTTTCCTCACTAGATCCTTTGTTTCGGTCCTAATTTTTTGTATCTTTCAAGTGATATTTGCGTTTTAAGAGTTTTATATTCCAACTCTGCCTTTTTCTTTTCACATTTTTTTATAATTTCTTTTTTGAACTGTGGGGCCTTACTTGATTTATGGAATGGTTTTCCCTCTGATTTTCCCCGTGTCTTCCATCTGCTTGCGTTGCTTGGTGGCTCGCTGAATATCTTTCAAAGTGTAGAAGTTCTTCTGGAGTACATCTTCTACAAATCTTCTTTCTTTAAATTCTTTTCGTCGCATATCTTTTCTTCTCGCTGGAACAGGATCACTGATTTCTTCTGCAGTGTGGAATGAAGCCTGTAGATCCTGTGTGTGTGTCTTCTTCCGATATACTAACATTACCATGCCCCCATCTTTCTTCCTAGTGACCAAAACATCCAGGAGAGGCAACTGTTTTGCAGCTTCCGGTTACATAGTAAATTTGATCATGGAGTGTTGCGAGTTCAGGTGGGTTCCATTTCCATGCTGCGAGATCACAAAGATATCATCCACATAACGACGCCATAGCTTTAGTTTCCACGGACTTTTCACGCCTCCTCCTCAAACATTTTCATGTAGAGGTGATTACCGGTTACAAAAGTGATACCATGGCTAGCCCTACCCATTGCAAATAGAAATCTTATTAATTAGGGTCCGGAAAAATTAAAGACCAACTTTAATAAACATTATGATAAACAATAATAAAAAAGTGATAATGATCAATAGAAGATCGCGATATTCAATTTTATTTTTATGCGTGCCTTTATTATTTATATTAACACATTATAACCTGAAAATAAAAAATGTTCGATTTCAATTTGCTATCTACGGAAAACACAATGCGAGAATAGTTTTCATTTTCGCATTATCGTTATTTAATTTGCGGTAATTCGGAATAGAACCTCCGCGCTCTGTGATTATAGTAATAAGCCGACCATTCACAGAAACATCGTGAGGAGGTCGTTCCCGCATGGCAAACTTTGTAATGATGACGGAAGGCGCATTGAAACAAACGCGGTCAACACTAAAAGAGGAGATAACAATCGGGTAACTGGCTCCAAGAAAAACCTTCACACCTACAACCTTCTATTTTTACAACATGCATTTTAAAACGACTACAATTTTATTAAATATATACATTTACACTCTACATTTTTTTTTTCAGATCGACTTCTTGAACAAATACCTGTTCCTTACATCTAAACCAGTAATTTATCTAGTTAACCTAGCCGAAAAAGATTATATCAAGAAAAAGAATAAATGGTAAGTTTAGTTTTTACACTTTCTTTTGGCAAAAGCTTCTGTGTAGTTTAGTGATGATTCGCTATGATGATGATGTATATTGCCACATCATTCGTGTTAATGACGCGTGGGGTACGCGTCTCATCAGGTTGTCGTTCACAAGTGGAGTCCTCGCGAAGAGTAGAGTACAATACCGATACTCGGCGCGGTTCCCTCCGCGTGTCGTATCCGGTTAATTATCCGAGCGTTCCTCCATTGCGGCACGAACGCAGTCCGGATAATGGTCGTTGATTGCTTTGATCTAAACCGCTATGGCCCCGTCGTCAATCGTGCCTAATTCGCCATTCAAAGCTGCGAATGGCGAGCTTCGGACGATCCTCGACCATCTCTCGACATTGTATGCATAGCACAGAAGACTTAATTACCAGATCCTAGGTCAAGAAATAAAAATTAATGCCGGTAGCTAAAAGTATTTTTTTACATACCATAAAGATATATATACTCCATTGTTTGATAAACTGTTATCGTAAGAAATTTTGTAGACGGGTTTTAGTCACGCAAAGCTGAAACCAGTTTGTCTCGCATTAATAAGTTAAAATTGACCGAAGAACAACCGTGGAATGTCGTCTGGAAGTTATAATTACAGCACCAATCGAAACGTATCGAGTGGTAATATACACCCAGTATTACCTTTTACGTGATTTCATAATGCATGTGCCTCAGAGTGTCTGCGGACCAATTTTTTTGCTTAAATTATCGATGACCCGCAATTGGAATAATAAGCGGTTTCAACAAGGGATGGCACCAACGAAATATACATCTCATTTGCATTTTTTATACCTACCACTTATTCATTTTGATACTCTAACGTATATATTATTTTTAGGTTAGTAAAAATTAAGGAATGGGTAGACAAGAATGATCCGGGAGCAATGATAATTCCATTTTCGGGTGCATTTGAATTTAAATTAATCGAAATGGAAGATCCTGAATTACGAAAAAAATACCAAGAAGACTGCGGTGCTACGAGGTAAGTAAACTTTGATACTCGAAAAAACGCAATTATTCGGACCAGAAAACATCTACCTATTAATCGCATACCCTGTGGTTAACAGAAAATTGATTAAATCCGTGGCTCAATTTGCGTCAATTCAATTTGTTTTTATGTCTCCCGTCCCAAAAACACAAATCGAGTTTATCAATCCGTGCTGCTCACAATTCGTCGACCCATCTTTCGAATTATACATATTTCGAGAGTTGGCCCTGTCATTACGAGCGTGTAGGTTGTATTTTTGCTTGTCATTTGCCCCACGATTGGGCAGAACTTGTTCCACCTACCCCATGTTCGTTTTCATTAAAGATCATAACGGTCAAAAACCGAAAGATGATCGACTATCGAAAAGATTCTTAGACCGGGTGTAATTGAGGTATTAGAAAAACGATTTATTTTTTATTGACCATAAATATAGGTATGGTGTTAGTTTCGGTTTATTAGAAATGTAACGTTTCAAAAATACTGTTGTCGTCATGATTTCACCGTGATAGAATATATAATTATCTATAGATTTCATAAAAAATAATGTTCAAAGAGACATAAATTTTTCACGAATATTTGATAATAAAAGATAATGCTTTGAAATGAATTCAAAACTTTCAATTCAAAAACTTTTTACTGGAAGTTGACCTTTAAAAGAGAGGTTATCGGAATAATAAAAAATATTACACCCAACTCTTTTTAACACGATTTTGAAATAACACGGTTCGCCAATACATTTTTTTACAAGAATTTTTTGTTATAGCACGAATCCCAAAAAAAAAATTTTTAATTCTAATTTTGATAGCGTTTTACAGAAACTTATGTATACAGTAACAAAATACAATGGGGGAATACCGCGGTCAGAAGTCGGTCAGTTACTACTACGGGGGATACCCGAATTTTATGATCACTTTTTTTCTTTATCTCGTTGTGCTTCAACTTGAACACAGGATTTCGTTATTCAGTATTTATTTTGTGTTAAGAATGGTCAGTTTGTGAAACGTAATAAATAATCTCGATAAAGTTCTAAAAGTGGATGTTTAAATTAAAGTTTTTTTAATTCGATGGTGAAATTTCCAGTGTATTATTTGTAATGATGATAATTCTTTGCTACTAAAAAAGGTAATATTGTGTTAAAAGTCGCTTTAGAAAAATGCTATAAGCAATATTATTTTGGATTCTTTTTATAGTACCCTTATTGTTTAATAAAATGCCTAAACAATAACTTCCAAAAAGACCTGCAATTTCCTTAGAAACTAAAATAAAAATCTTAGACTGTCTAAAGAAAGGCGAAGGTCCCACATCTGTTGGCAAAGCTTTTGGTTTAAACGAAGCGACTATAAGAACAATTAGAAAAAATGAGAATTCCATTCGAAAGTAAGCTCCAAAACATCATCTTATAGTCGAAATCCTATCTTAGAGAAAACGGAAAAACACATGGTGTTTTGGATAGAAGATTACAGTCAAAAAGAATACCTATTGATGGGAAACATATAAAAGAAAAAGCACTTAGAATATATAACCAACTTCAGAAATTGGAACCATCAACATGTCTTCAGGCAACTAAGAAACTGGCATTTAATGGAAATGAGGGATGGCTAACAGGTTTTATAAAAAGACACGCATTTCACAATGTAAAAATAAAGGGAGAAGTAGCATCAGCAGATGAAAATGCTGCAAAAACCTTTCCGGATAAACTAGCAAAAATCGTTGAACTCCAGAACAAATATTTAATGCCGATGAAACGGGATTGTTTTGGAAGAAAATGCTCGAAAGGAAGGACTTACATAGCAAAATCTGAAAAATCAGCCGATGGTTTTAAAGCAGCCAAAGATTTTCAAAGGGTGATAAAAGTTTCTAAAATAAATTTTCTATTAAAAAGTACAAAAATAAATGTAGGGTTACGAGCGAACAAAAAAGTTCTGAGCAAACAAATTTTAGGGACACATGTATAGCATGGTTGCCGCCGCCCGATCAAAGTCAAAATTGGTTCAATGATTTTGCTTGATATTTGTTTACCCTGCATCAAATTTCAACGCTCTATCATAAATGGTATTGAAAATATTTAGAAAAATGTGTTCAAATTTCTGAACTTTGATGGCCCATATCTTGGCCATTTGAAGACATTTATAATAATTTTTTTTCACGAATCGTCATTATTTTTGCTTTAGTACCGAGAGATCAAAAAAGCCGGTCCGCTAAAAACTACTTTCCCAAGCGCTTGATACCAATATTTACTGCCCTCGTCACAGCCTCCTCCCATCTCTACTTGTTTTTAATTTTCAACGTTCTTATTGGTCGACGAGGTGATATCGATTTTTAGTTTCAATGGTTTCGATCAGCTGAGCTCAGAGTCGTGTTCTTGGTTTTGGCGCAAGGTTTATAGAACATAAGGTTACCTCATTCCCTATGCCTCTGTAGTATCGATTATTACCCCGCAAATTGACGTCACTGGTTCGATACAGTCAGAATAAAAGATAGCCTATACGCGTGCCTATACTGTGGTACAGTNAGCGGACAATAAATTAAGATGATTTAACGCAACTTATCTCTATACTAAGTTGTACCCCTGGGGAGTTATAGGCCTTCAAAGTTGGGTCTTAAATTTTTAAAGCATTGAATATCTTTGTAATACATTAAGGTAGAAAAACCAAATTTGGTATACGTTATGAGTGTACCAAAGGTATTGGTAGCAAATTGAGACCAATTGAGGCATTTCAAAGGGTTGATTAAGGGTGATGGTCTCCTAAATGTTGACAGATTTTTTTAACCTTTTGGTGGATTTAATACATTATTACCTCATTTCATGTGGAATTTCATTCTAAAACTTTTTTTACTCTTATTATTTTTTAAAAAACATTGTCGTTTTCATAAAAAACTTAAATAACTAATGCCACGTATTTCGTTAATGCTTCTTAAATCATCGAAAATTCAGTAGTCGGCTGTGACATTGTACGTAATTTTAGGAATAAATTGTTTATTATGAACTAAAAAGACATCATCCATAAACAAATTTAGTTTAGGCATAATGATTCTCTAGTGATAAAGAGAAAATCCCCAAAATGTCAAAATTGAGTACTTTTGGTTTTAAAATCGATCATAACTCAAGAATGAAAGGTGATGGCGAAAAGTTTTTTAGAAATAAATTGTTTATTATGAACTAAAAAGATATTATTGATAAACAGATTTTGTTTAGATGTAATAATTTTCTAGTGATAAAGAAAAAATCCCCATAATGTCAAAATTGAGTACTTTTGTTATCAAAATCGATCATTACTCAAAAATTAATTGTGATGGGGGAAAGTTTCTTTGAAATAAATTGTTTATTATGAACTAAAAAGACATCATCCATAAACAAATTTGGTTTAGTTATATGGATTTTCTAGTGATAAAGAAAAAATCACCAAAATGTCAAAATTGAGTTCTTTTGGTATTAAAATAAATCATAACTCAAAAATTAAAGGTGATAGAGAAAAGTTTATTTGAAATAAATTGTTTATTATGAACTAAAAGGACTACTCATAAACAGATTTGGTTTAGTTATAATGATTTTCTAATGATAAACAGAAAATCACCGAAATATCAAAATTGAGTACTTTTGGTATTAAAATTGATCATAACTCAAGGATGAAAGGTGATAGAGAAAAGTTTTTTAGGAATAAGTTGTTTATTGTCAACTAAGAAGACATCATCCATAAACAAATTTAGTTTAGATGTAATGATTTTCAGATGATAAAGAGAAGGTCTCCAAAATGTCAAAATTGGGTACTTTTGGTGTTAAAATCGATCATAACTCAAGAATGAAAGGTGATGGAGAAAACCTTGTTGTCAAATAACTTTATAACCTATTTGTCAAGTTTGACGTACAATTTCATAGCCGACTACTACATTTTCTCTTATTTTAAGTAACATTACGAAATACGTTTTTTTAGTTATTTAAGTTTTTATGAAAACGACAAAGTTTTTTAAAAAATAATACGAATAAGAAAAGTTTTAGAATTAAATTCCACATGAAATTAACTAGTAATGTATTAAATCCACCAAAAGGTTAAAAAAATCTGTCAAAATTTAGGGTACCATCACCCTTAATCAACCCTATGAAATGCCTCAATTGAGTTCAATTTGCTACCAATTAATACCCTTGGTACACTCATAACGTATACCAAATTTTGTTTTTCTACCTTAATGTATTACGAAGATATTCAATGCTTTAAAAATTTAAGACCCAACTTTGAAGGCCTATAACTCCTCAGGGGTACAACTTAGTATAGAGGTGAGTTACGTTAAATCATCTTAATTTATTGTCCTCTACATGTCCTTGTTTTGTGTCGGTTCTTATGTGAATCACCCTGTATTACACAATAAGAATTAAAAAACATAGAACTATCTAAAATAACTCAAACTTTGCCGATTCAAATTGTTCTAGATGTGTTTTACGTTTAGCACGGACATTAATTTTGCAAATTCACATATTTTTTGTTGCTCTAAATTGTTCTTGTTGTTCTAGGTACTTAAAATGTTTATTTATTTAATCACTGCGGCATTAGTTCTTTTAAACTTTCATATTAAAAATTAGTACTTACAACAATTAAAACAATTCAAAACAGCTGTTATTTTCACTAGAAAAACCTTAAATTTCAGTTCTTGTGATATTGGACAGGTTTTGTTGAATCAGTGAACCCAATCTTTAATATAATAATAGTTTTAAAAAACTAAAAAGATATGGAATAATCTGAATTATATTGGAATGAATCATCCTAATTTTCTAAAAATCACAAGTTTCACCTTTCTCTTTAAACTTATAATAGTAAAACATAAGATGCGATTTAAAGTGTATTTTATTTTGTATAAACTAAGTAATAAATTAATAAATAAACCAAACTAACAAATAAAACAATAACTATTCGATCAGTATTACTATTCCAGTACAATAACTTATTCTAAGGTAAACTATAACTAAATAAACGAAATTATGTAAATAAACTAATATCATG